TATTTCGAGTATCCGTGTATGTGTATGTGTAAAAAATCTCATTGTCACAACTCGTTCTTTTTTTTTTTACCACGCGATCGCTACGTGTTTGCGTTTCGTTTGTATATGCGTGATGGGTATACGCATGTTTATATATGTATGTATGTATATATGTATGTTGATAAAAATTGTTTGCAAATTGTGTGACAACCAATGACAGCGAGAACTTACTCGCTGGCTTGGGGAAATGTCATCCCGGTAAAGGACGGGGAGAGGGTTTCCGTGTACATCTCGCAGCCCGTGCCCTGCAGGTAATCATTCTGCCACGCCTGAGTATCCGGCGACTGAAACACCAACCAATCAAGCCCCACGTCATCAAACCTTTCATAATCTATCTAAATAACTGGCTGAGCCTGACACGAGGAAGGACGCTGACCTCGTGGTCCGCATCTCGTCGTGCAGGATGAACAAGATAGGATAACATCGGTTTTCGCACGAATTATCATTCATCCGTCAAAGATAGATGTGCAGAGTGTCTCAGCACGGATGATACGTGATCAAGCCGACGAAATAATGGATAATTCTAGGCGCAAGAATGAATCGAAAAGGAGGGAATGAGAAAGTGTTGAGCTTCGTTCTCGAGTAAGAGTAAATTTAAGAGTTTTTCTTCTTCTTCTTCTTTTTAAAGCATGATTGAAATTGCTAAGTTTTCGATCGAAATTGATTGAATCGAGTAGATGGATATTATTACGCGTGAAAATAAATGAAAAGTAGAATGAATGTCGAGATTGAATATTTTATTGGTTATAGATGTTGGATAAATTTAAGGATAATTGTTCGAGATTTTGATGACATTGGTAATTAAAGATCGATAAGATATATCCATCGGCAAGAGTAACGAATGAATGTAGGGCAGCTGAAGGAGAGCATAATGATTATCAAGTCCAACAGTTGATTTCGTACAAGTGTATCGTAGAAAAGAAGATTACGATATTGAAGATTACATTTTAAAGATCTTCCTTTTTACGAAACTTACCAAATCCGTTCGATTAATTAAATTTGATCGAATAAGTAAAAATGCAATTTATCTTGAACTAATTTTAACAAATCATTAGTAAGATCGTTATAAAGAATATTTATCCCGAAATAAACGCATCTATCACACGTGTAATTTACCTTACATTAAATCCTATTAAAATTAGTAAAATTTTAAATCGCTATAATTCCGAAAATAGTGACTTTTGATCGACGAATGAAAGATCGTTAGAAACGCGGAACCTTGTCCTTTAAAACGCCTTTTCATTTATCTCGATACGACTTCCGGTTCCCGAGATATCGTCGTGTAAAGAAAAAGGTAATTTTTTAATCGTTTGCAATCTCTGTCTTTATCTCTTACTCGATTCTCTCCCTCGCACTTCACCGATCTATCCAAAACTTCAGACAGATGTAATTCTTGGAAGAACGTATGCATTTCCAGGAAAAAATGTAGGTCACGAGGCTTATTCATATTCTCAGCACTATCTTAAGTATTATGGACACTTTGAGTATCCATATCTCGACAACCGATTCAGATATCGGAATGAAACAAAAAGTGAATTCAAGGATATGGTTTTTACTATTTTTTGAATAGGTTTTGAATGGTAAAATTTTCATTTTTTTTCTTAGATTTATTTAAATGCAAAATCGAAGTCTCATTCGTGATCGAAATAGTATATTGTTTATTTAATTTGGATCTACAATCGAATGTTTTATATTCAGTTGAGAAATTATCTTATGCAAGATAAAAGAATTTTCAAATTTTTTTAACTAATATTCATATTAAAAAATTTTCTCTTTTTTTTTGTGTGTGTATTTTTACACTTATAATATCCTATCCATTGTTCATTCGTATTCAATCAGAAATATCATTCAAATTTAAATCATTTTTCAAACTTAATTTACTCGAAAGCAAAGCCTTCAACAACAATTTAATCATTTTTCCTTCGATTCATTTATAGCATGTAGAATCACTTTCTGCATGCTTGTACTATCCGTTCTGAAATATCCTGCATGCGTGGTATTTCTCGAATAGAGAGAAAGTTTTACCAAGAATAACAAACGATTTGTACAGGAATATTCTAATTAGTTTTCTGGAAATAAAATTTGATTAATAAAAATTTATAAAAATATTTCTATGAAATCTATCTACGTTCTACGTGATCCGTTTAATTCTTTCGAATATACTTCCCCGTTTTTCTTAAATGGGACAGCTCAGACAGCAGATAAATTACTTTTGTTACAATTTTTTCGTTTCTTGACTGACCTTCGTTGAATGAGATTTGGAAAAAAAAAATATATATACTAATCTTCGTACAATTTTCGAACAACATCACACTACGATTGTATACGATTATACCACCTGACCACAATTGAAATATTCTTGTCATCTATAAGGCGAATATTTTTACAAATAACCGAATAAATTCCATTTTATACGTCATATATTCGTTACTACACATATCTATGATAGATAGATAAATAATCCTGAACAGGTAATGACCAACAGCAATTTTTCACTGACACGAAGTAACAAACATACGTAAGTAGTACCTTCGATTCTCATATATAATCGCCTTTCAACACTGATCGAATCACTAAGCGAGATGATACCTACTAGCTATAATTCCTAATGCTTACCAATCATCCAGTTGCCGTTTATGCTTGTCGTTGTTGCAAATTTTCATTATACGCAACGGTGAGCGTTCGAGCCAATCGATACCGTGGAGTATTCAAGCATAAAAATCATATTTTATTTATACAAATTATGTATTTGTAAAATACGCTCACGATTTGGAAAAGATGGAAAAAAGGACTTGACGTGAAATCATTAATTGCCCATAAATAATTTTTGATTTTTCAATTGTTCAAATGTTGCTGTAAAAAAATTCAAAAAGTTTCAATGAATTGAAACAACATACATACGATGAAAGATTTTAAATTAAAAATTAAACAATAGATTGGAATAGAAATATTTGAATATATTAATCAGAATTTTTAACCAATCATGAATAAAATGATCATTTTTAAATCGAAATGCTTATCACACAGTAAAATTTCAAACAAAAGAAAAATTAAATCGAATCCTTCTTCCACAGAAGATTCATTTGAAACGAATCTTTTTGCGAGCCACGGTATAAATCGGTTCGACTTCAAACCGTCGTGCGTAGAACTGACAGAGAAAGAGAGTGAAAAAATACAGAAAAACGTTACTGAAGCGATTAGAGGTGGCTTACATCGATTAGGTGTAGAGCACAGATACTTGGTACTGTACAATATACAGTTAATATACGTTCATGTATAGTATAGATATATATATAGATGTAGATATAATCCATATAATGTATATAGCGGAGTGGAGCGTAGTGAAAGACATAGGCGAGGCGAAGCTTCATCCTTTTTTTATTTTTTTTTCTTTTTTTTCTTTTTTTTTTTCGTTCCGATTCAAGAGACTGCGAATCCTTCTCCAAATGGTTCCGTCGTCACGTTAACGTGAACACACAAGAAGAGAGCAAGTGAACCGAGGTCGATCGAATCCGTGTTACTCTGAGATAGAATTTTGAGAATTTTCATAATATTTGAACGTATATAATAATATAAATAAGTGAAAAGATTATTTATTATTTTTGAACAAAAGCACGTTTCCTATATTCGATTTTTAAATAGAATCTGAGATATTATTCATTGTTTCAACAGAAAACTCGGATTGGATCGATATTTTTGTTAATTGTATATAAAATAGAACGAACGAGATCGATGAATAATGAGGAGTCAAAAGATGAGAGAGATGTAGAAGATTTATAGAAATTTATTTTCGTATTTTCTTCCATTTTTATTTATTATCACTCGAGCGCTCGTGTAATTCTATTTTCAATAATATAAATTTCTGTTAAAAATTATATGGATACTCCAATCTCTACATATTTCTCAAATTTGACAAATTATCCGAATCGAGTGACTCTTCTAATCAGTAATTAATTATTCATTAATTCAGATCGATAAAATATTTATATCGTTGTTAATGCAAAATATGGATATGTGTATAACATATATATATAAACACAATGATTCGACGAACCACAGAGCCACGTCTCTTGAATCAGATATGCAGGTATCTGTTGGATGTTGGATTGGTCATGGACCGACTTACTCAGTGGCTTTGGCAAAGGGCATTCCAATGAAGGTAGGGCTCAGTGTTTCGGTGTACATCTCCATTCCAGTTCCACGAAGGTAGTCATTCTGCCAAGCCTGCATATCGGGTGACTGGTACCAATCAACCAACCATTTCTAAATTACACACGCTCCTATGCATGTACGGATTCGCGCTTTTGTTCACAGCGACACCAACCTACTTGCGTTTTTTCCTTTTTCTCTCTCTCTCCAATTTTTCAACGTGGATAATTTAATTTAAACAAACGCGTCTTATTCGAAAAAGCGAGTAATAAAGGTAAGAGAGAAGAACGAGATATTTGATATTCCGTGTATTATTTTCGATTATTAATAAAAATCGCGAGGTCGCTGTGAACAAGTGAACCGTGAAAAAAACCTAAGGAACCTTGTTCACACATGCATAGATGAGAAAAGATCGGCAGATTTTTCTGTCGTCCTTAGAACGACATTCTACTGACCGTCTTGAAGGAACGCATGGCGAAAAGATTGGCCATCATCGTGCTGAAACCCGGCGCTAGACAGGACTGTGCGATGAAGCCCAGCTTCAACTCGGCCAGGCAAATCACGTCGTCGCCCTGTTTCCAGTCCCATGATGGAATGTTTAGTAAGTAGGCCTGAAACGTAAAATTTCGAACGAATATTAGATATTAAAAGTGTAAAAATGTACGTATCAGGTCGTTAAAGCAAGACAGCTTCTTTTTGTCAAAAGATATTTTGCTCGAATGATGGAACCAAGTCGTTGAAAGCAATTAGAGAAGTATTTTATTAATCATTGATTGCGAAATAATAATCCAGTTATTCATTATTTTAATTACTTTCTGAGAGTATCGCGAATTATTAACGATATCGTTCTCGAAACTGTATGTTAAAACATTAAATAATAAGTTTAAAATTATTGATCTATAATCTAAATATGTATTATACATAGATTAATTAGAATTAAAATATATAAATATATATTATGTTATGTTTCTGAATAATGAATAAAAATTTATGTTAATTTTGTGAAAAATTTTAACGATTGATAGAAATAGAAAATCGAAAGAAAAATTTGAATAAAATTAAACAAAATAAAGTATCGATTATTCAAATATCCATTGAATTTCCATTGAATCCAATAAATCGACATTAATTATATTTTATATCATAATTAGTTATTATAATCAACATGTAACTAATATTTAATTAAAAGTTTTATCGATATCTGAAATTTATTATAAACTGCAATCACCCAACTTGTTTGGATATTCAGCACATTATTATAATATATATATATATATATATATGCGAAGCATTATTAAATTTCAACAGTAGATTTCCCTTTAAGTCCTGATCGGATATAATTGCAGCCATTTAATAAAATATCATCTTTAAATTTGTTAATCGAAAATTTACTTTCATATTAAAGGTATAAAATTTAGAATTATTCATTATATGAAAATCCTTCGAGCGGAAACTTAAATCACACATGCAAAATATCGAATGATATAAGCAATACCTTGTTGTGATATTGCATTAATTGAATGATAACGCGAATGTCATCCGAATAGTTCTTGATGGAGATGACACGCATGATGTTTGCTGCGTCTTCCGCATCTGGATCTTGACAGTACTTGTTCGCCAGAACCAAACACGCGTCTGCCTCGTGGACCTAAAAACGATCGAAATATTTTGTCCCGCGGATAAAATAAACGAGCGAAATGGAATCAAGGAGGTGTATAGTAGTAGTATGTGGGGAGGTTGGACGAAGATGGAAATGGAAAGCAATTACAAAATAGAAACTGCTTTTGAACAAATTTTCAAAACTAAGGAATCATTAGCGAAAGAAAAATGTAGCGCAAAACTTATTCTATTCGATCATTATTCAATGCAAATAACAATTGTACAATTTCACGTGTCGTTTGATTGCTTTCAATATATATGGGAAATATACCTGATAAAAATGTTATCGATCATTGTAAATCATTTGTAAAAAGTAAAGTAAAGTAAAGTCCGCCATATGTATGGTTCTGTGATTTTTGATCAAGTGAAATGTGTTTTTTCTGGAGGGGGGGAGGGGGAGGGGGGAGGGGGGAAATGACGAATATCAGGCAAAGAGAACACGGGAAAACTAATCGGTGTGGTAACTACATCGAATATGCAGGAATATGCAACTACATATAATATACACACTTTTTTATAAGCGTTTAACAGTATATAGATAACTATTGGCATGCGTTGTAGATACTGAGAAAAATATATATATATATATGTATATATATACGTATGAAAATCGATATTACATGAATAAAATGAAAATATGATATTAAATTGTCGGGTATTGCATTCCAAAATTCTTCATGTATTCACTTATTAAGAACAAAACACTCGAAACTCTTGGAAAAAACTTTCAAGTCCTTGAAACTTTCAATGCTTTTATGATTTTAAACTCTTGAAAAAAAAAAAATGGGATAAACGATAATGTAACTTATGAGAATACTACAATGTTAATATAATTTATATAATTCTATTAAAAAAAAAAAAAAATGAAGTATAAAAATCTCGATCTCTATATTATATTTTGCAGTATCTTCGACGCATATTTCAAAGCAAATCTTCACAATATTTCTAAAATATTATTAAATCATCAAAATGATATAAAAATATCGTCAACATGCGCATCTACAACCTGACTTAAATTTAATCGATATAAAAGAAATATTAGCATACAAGCATACTATTCTGTCACTTTTCCTTTTTTTCTTTCTTTCTTCTTTAAATGCAGAATCTATGTACTTAATAATAAAGAATTGTTAATCGCTATTTTAAACTAAATCTTCAACAGAAAAAAGTAATATTATATTAGAAATGATAATGATTTATTTAAACTTCATTCACAAGCACTTACCCACCTGGATTGATAGTAGACACATAGTTGTATCCAATAGGTGTAAACAATCTTCGAGAGACTTATTTTACAGACGTCAACATATGTATACATATTAACGTCAGAAGAAACTAAGAATTCTTTTTCTTTTTTTTTTGCAGATATAATTAGCATTTTTCAAAGTTGGCAAAAGATTACGAGATGCACAACGATATACTTTCGAAGAATTTCTAATCGAGGGAGAATTATTGAAAAAAAAAACTTTTGAGTTTCATTCGATAACTTTATCGTTCAACGATTGCTGAGATATCGTGTATTCGATCAAACTTGTACGAGCTATTACATAATTGGAACACGAAAGCAGATGACAGCATGGAAAGCGCGTCAAAGGGATTTCATGAAACATCGTCAATATGCACAGAAGGGTACATACAGGCAACAATTATTTTGGAACAACAACATTTGTCCTTTCGCACGTTTTCGAACGACTACTAAAAGTTTGAAGCAGCAACCATGAGACCATATCCCTTGTACTTTCTGATAAGTAATAATATATACTTAATATATAATGTATATATATATATACATTGTACTTTACAATTAAATGCAATTTTATTTATTGTAAATTAAAAACTAAATATGATATACTTGAATAACTTATACTTAAATTATACTTAATAATATATATTTATAATTAACATCTAACTTATAAACTATGTTATAAACTATAAATGAAAAAAAAAGGAAAAACAAAAAAAGAATAGAAACAAAGAAAACCAGCGATGCTTATTATTGGCAAGCCCATATCTTAGACGCTGAAATATTAGGAGGAACAGTATTTATAAGAAGAGTGTAGGCGAACACTCGTGAGAAAGCGTATACTTATCCTTCTAATGGCAACGATAGGAAATATCACTATAATATACAGTTTCAATGTACAATTACAATGTATATGAAACATACAAAAAGCATTGACTGAAAATCTTTAATATATTATATTTAAATATATATTTATAAATAATATTTGGAACATAATTTTATTTTTAATTAAAATCAAAACTGAAATTAAAATTATTCAACACTTATATTATATATTAAATAAATCATTATGAAAAATCATATTTTTATCAAATGTATATGTCATCTTTTAAAAATATTCGATTCATAAATACAAAATAATATTTCATTTATTGAAAAATTATTGAAATATAAATCTTTTCCCCTGTTTTTTTTTTTTTTATTATTCTATAATTTATTTAGTCTCTTAAAGAACATATATTTAATCTAAATATTATATTTCATTAATATTCATATGAAATTTATATTATTAAAAATAATTTTAATTGAATATTTTGACAACAAATATAATTATAATAATATTCTGAATACAATAATAAAAAGTTCAAAGTACAAGTACTACGTCATGGAAGCTGCTATGACACAACGAAGGAATACGATAACTCGATGATCCTGTGAATGTTGAGCACAAAGATGTATATGTATGTACATAAATATATGTATACGATATGTTCAATTAATTTGAAAATAGTGGAATATTTTTAAAATTGTTTTAAACAAAACTATTATATTAATAATATAAATAATATATTGTTATTGAATGTGTTTTTCTTTCCATCTATTTTACGCAACGCATTTTATACTATATCCTTCAACAATATTTCTTTCGTGATATTAAAAACTTTTCTTTATATCATTTTTATATATATATTAGAATTATTTTATATTAAAATTCAACTAGTGCTAATTAAATATTTAATAAATAAATTAATATATAATCCTAATTATTTTCTCAAATTATTCCTAAATTTTCACAAAATGTTTCAAATACTACTATCACAAACGTAAAATCAAAATAATAACCAAAATTAGCATGCCATTCGAATATGAAAAAATATTGGAATAAAATTTCTATCGGATTCACGCTTAAAAAATTTTAAATATAATGACAATTTTATTTTCATCTCTGCAGAAAAATATTCCACCGTTTCAAGGACATATTGTACACGCATACGTATGTAAATATGCACAGTGGCGTTCGCCAAATAATACACGCAGGTTGATACAAGTCGGTGTAATTATCTTGCATATGTTGAGAAGGGGACGAGGATTTTTATCATTAACTTTGGAGGGGACAGAATAGATATCAGACTCACCTTGACCCGTTGCAGATCAATGGGGTTCATGATGGTCCCCTGAAAGAACTCCACGGTGGTGAAGTGCCGTTTGAATAGTCCCTCCAGCTCGAGATCTGGTGGTTTCCTAAATGGCACGAGCCCGACAAAATGATACGTTCTTTTCATAAATAACGTTCACCTCAGATATCGGAGGACGCCTTTTTTGCGAATTATCGCTGAGTAGGTCCGCCAGAGATGGGCGGAGATTCGACTTATAACATAAGTAGTAGTAAATAGTAGTAATAATGCTGTTGTGTTTAGCGTCAGACTTTCGAGGAACATCAAGACATTCTAATTCGAATCGTTTCCCAACCTTCTTTAAATTAATCTTTAAATTCCTTTTATCCAATATTCACGCATCTTGCGATTTCATTCTTTTCATGTAAGATAAATATAGTAAACATCAGATAAGTGTCAATGGTCGACAGTCATCGTTATTGCAGAATTCTGATCGAGCCATGCGAAGATTAAATTTCAATACTTTCGAAAAATGTACAAGTTTGAGCTCTGATATTTATCCAATTTTTATTGTATCTTATGTTTAACAAAATATCTTTACTTCATAATTGCATCGAATCTCGATTTTTGGATACTTATACAAATTTTACTATATATATTCTGATAAATGTTTCTGTATTCAAGAAAGTATAAAAGGAATTTTGATATTGGTTCAATATACTATTTCGATATATCCTATTTCATAAATACACAATTTGAGTTTCGATTTACCCAGTTTTTATCGTACACTGGTATTGCAAATATTCTGTATATTTGTGTAAAATTCGAAGAGAACTGTAAGCTTTGATCAAATAATTTAATTTTTCAAAATTTCGCTATCTCTACTTTATAAATTTGGATTTCGATTTTTTGACTATTTATCCAACATTTACTATAAATGCTAAAGATTATGATGAAAAGATTAAATGAAAAGCAGCTCACAGGTTGAGAATCACTGTTCTACAACATTCGTTATTTCATAACGTAGATATGCTTCCTCGTAAGTCAAGGATAGACGATAAACGTTGTAATAGATCTAAGTAAGTCTCTACTGCACGCTGATTCGGCTCCATAGCTCATTACAGCATACCATGCAGTCGCAGGCAATTGCTTTCTACGTATAAGTTTGTACATATACATATATGTACATATATATATGTGTACTATGTATATACACCAACATATGTATAAGGTGATTTTTAATAAATGACTAATGCGATTATCTGCGTAATCTCGAAATAGAATATGGAGAAACATTTCACTTGAAATGTTCATTTTCAAGAGTGATGTCATACGATAAAAACTATTTCGCAGACGAAAGTGTTGAGGTTAAGAAAGTTTTATATTTGTTAATTGTAATTGTTTTTCCAATAATTCCTGTGACAATGATTATTTTTTATTATTTTAAATTATCGACAAGTGGTTCAAGATTCATAGAAATCATTTAAGACAAGAATGTAATCTGTGATACAATTGAAAAGAAAGTAATTTCACAAGTAAAGATAGAAAACATGAAATGGAATTTTCTTCATAAAAAAATTAATACAATTTGGTTAATTTTGTTATTTATGATTTAGAAAGAAAATATAAAAATGTATGGATCGCATTCTTATTATGCTAAATATGTATGTAGAGTTTTATTCGATCAATTAAAAAAGCATTCGATTATCAAAAATTAATAAATTCAGAGTGAGTATACGTGTAGAATATGTCTACCAAAAAAAAAAATATATATAAAATTGAAATATTGAGAAATGTAAAATATTAATTCATACTACTGACAATTTATATTTATATTAAAATGTATAATAATAATAATGAATAATATACCCATATGTATTGATTATATGCGTATTTGGCGAACTTTCAATGTTGAATCCTCTTAAAAAATAATACACAAAAAATTTGATTTCACATTTTATGTTTAAATTGCCTTTTTCATTCGTACTACATATAACAAAAAAAAAATTTTTTTAATATATTCCTTTTCGTCATATTTTTATCTCCATATCTTCGATTCCTCTAATTAACTATCTCTTTTAACTATTTTAACTATCTAACAATTATTTTATTCGCAAAATATTACGTTTTCAAAATAAAGAAAGCAATACCTCAATTGCAAATACATTATCAAACCACTGTATAATTAAAAAAAAAAAAAAAGAAATAAAACAGAAAAAGAAAAGGGTGAAAGATGGCAAAATACGTAGAGAGAAGAATAGAAGAGAGAAAGTGAAATACAATCGAGTAAGAATTAAAACTGGACAACTAATCGTATACATTTCATACACGTCATAAATTGAATACCTAATTTAAAATATAGTCTTTCTTGGACAACTATATCGATCGATCAAGTGCTGTTGAGTAAATAACCGCGCAAAAAACCTAAAAAACTAGAAGGAAATAAGAAGCACGAGCGGCCACGCAAAGGACAGAGAGTAAGGATATTCGATATTGAAGGGTTGAGGATTCGTGTGATGGTTGTTGCTTTAGGGTTCAGGATACCTTGACACGCTCCAGGTCCACAGCATTCATCATAGTGCCCTGAAAAAACTCCACGGTCGTGTAATGCCTCTTCAGGAGACCCTCCAATTCGAGATCTGGCTCTTTCCTGGAAACACAGATCACTCCTTACGACAATGACGATCAGACCTCATGGCTCGATCAATCGAAACACGTGGTGCATTGGAATACCAGATACCCTTGGCCTTTCTCTACACTGTGTATTTCGGTACATCCTGTTTTCCCTCTCTCTGTTGACCATCGAAACATTAGCCTTGACATTAAGCTCTTAAATTAATATTCGCATTGACCCAAAAGCCCGCATTGAAAATGGAATAATAAAAGAAATAAGATCGGCAGTGTCTGATCGTCTTTAGCCGTGTAACCGCTGGAAAGCTGATATACATAATTGTGAAACCTAGGCAAATCGTATTGCCTACACTTACCCCAAGTTGTCACAACGTTACGATAAATTACAGACGTGATTTATTACTGCTTTCGTGATAATCATCGATATCGCATGACATTGTTTTTTTTTACGTGAGTGACTGCTTATCGGTAACGATTACAGTAGCAGACTTACTTAATTTTATATCGTTCAGCACATGTATAATACGCATCATCGCGTATTTATTTTTAACGTGAGATGACTCAAATGTGGAGAACATCGTTATATATATATATATCGATTGAATTTTAATAACAATTGAGTTCGAATTATTATTGTATCGTAACAAAATCGATCTGATCGATCTCGATATATAATATTTTCGACAAGTGAGTTAGGACATGGAAGGATAAGTGTCAAAACATCCTGTATAATCGTGTTAAAAAAAAAAAAAAAAAAAAAAAAAAAAAAAACTAAGCAATTAATGCTGCACATGCTGAGATTATACAGAGGTTCGAATTGACCGAAATGAGACCATAATTGGGAAGATAGATATGCATCGAGGTCTGATTAAGAATGAATTAAGAGATATCGGACCGATAACCATACCTATGCAAGAAGACAACTTCCACATCGACGTCCTCGCGGTCCTCGTGCAAGAAGTCCTTGAGGAAGTGCGAGACTGATTCGTAGGTGATGTGGCCACACACGACAATATGTCTGCCAACACAACGAACGAATTAGATTCCACTCCCGGTTAAAGTAACACGAATGATCGAAAATAAAAAAAGTAAAAAAAAAACAGAAGAAAATAAATAAAAAAAAAAAAATAGAAGATTTACAAGCAACTACCATGTACACGCTCTATATATATAATATACATACATATGTATCAACCGACTAACGATTTCGTTACGTTTTTTTCTCTCTCTGATTGCCAGCTACCAGCTTTCGCTGTTTTTCCATTTGCTTTTTCTTTCTTTGAACACGATTCCTCGAGACAGAAAGACAGAGAGAGAGAGAGAAAGAGAGAAAGACAGAAAGAGAGAGAGAAAGAATATATACACTTGTCGTATATGCCGCTCGAGGGCGTAAATACGGTCAAATGAAAAATATATACGCGCGAAAATATATACGATGCAATCGGCTGAGAAGAAAAAAAAAAATATAGAGAACGTATTTTCGTATATACCAGTTTAGTCTGCTGCCACAATAACAATCTTCGATTCAAAGATCCGTCGAGATTTATCAGAAAACGATATTATCATTCTAGTTATATAATAATTTGGAATAATATATATATATATACAATCAGTCGCAAAAGTCTTTGCACAATTTATATAATTCATATGAATTGTATTGTTAGAAACAATAGAAAAAGTTTTGTTTTTAATAAAACTTTACGAGCATGTAGAGCAGAATGGATTATATGAGAACTGATAAAGTTCGAGAATTCGTCGTGGTTAAATTACGTACTTCACTGGTAGATGTCACTGTCAACTTCGAAATATTCCTTTTCAGAAGGATGTCAATGTTCTGTCCACTTTTCCAAACAATTTTGTGAAATGAAACTTTAGAATTGGCATCATGTTATTCTCAATGCCATTAATGTCATAAAATGCCTTTCTTTCGAACTTTCAATTACTGAAATAACTTGTTTGGAATTGGAACATTCTTCTCGTTCTGATGAATCTAATAATTTTCCTTCTACTTTTTCCCAAAAGTAAAAATATTTTCATGGCTTTAATGACATTAAGAGATTTTTAAAATTGTTTTTGAAAAATATATAAATCATCGGCGCATAACTTTACATAAAAGAAATGTTTTGAAGTTTATTGTAGTAACATTCAATAATAAAAAAAAATATATATATATATACAATTTTACGATGAGTTCATGAACTTTTTATCTTGTGTAAAGTAACTTTTTTAAGTGGAATATTATTTTGAGAATGTAAAATTAATTCTCAAAAATTTTCAGAGCTCTTTTTTTTTCGATTTTACAATGAGAAAAATTTAAAACAAATAGATAAAACAAATTTCAATACACTATTACTTCATCATAAAAATATGTCCAAACAAAATGTAAAATTTTTTCAAAGAGATTTGAATAAACTCATTATGCTCTACACATACATTAATTTTTTATTAATTTAATTTTTTTTCTTAAATGGCGTACAAAAGTCTCTCGCGACTTGTATAATCACGAATCTTGCGAAAAATAATTATTTAAAAATTAAAGATCGAGGAAATATTTATTAGAAAAATCGCGATCCCCGCGTATTTGATAAAAAATTATACACACATTGAACATAGACGTATAATATATATATGTATAAAAGTAGAAACTAATTAATGTGACTAAACTTACCAGAACTGCGATAGGAATTGAGGTGAGTCGTTTTAGCCGACTAACGTGATCGAATAACTATGCACACGCGCTCGCTGCATGCGAGCACGCGAGCGTTACACACACAACATACGTGGTAAATCATCTGTGCTAGACATACATTATACAATAAACATGACAAAAAAACTGGATGAAAATATGTAAAGAGTGCAGGCTCGTTGAGACGGTTCGATCCTTGCAATAAAATTATACAAGCACAAGACTCATTATTCTTTTTTTCCTCTAATTTAACGTGTTAATCACTACGTGCTGTGTAGATTAATAAATCACATACTCTCACTAATTATAAACGTAATAATAAACTCATACAAATAGAACCAAAAAAAAAAAAAATAACTGCCTAAAATTGACGAAAAAAGTGTTATTGCATCGAATAAGAAAAACTTCACCATAGACATTCCATGCCCAATCCTTTTCTACTTGATATGGCATCTAAAAATGCGAGGCTCATCATGAACTCAGCAGACACAGACAATTCTTTTTTTTTTTGTTGTTTCCCAATGATCGATCGACGTTTTATAATATAGATTAAAAAAAAAAACGAATAGTATATTAAAAAACACACGGATTTTGTGTGTCACTGAATCCAGCATGGGCCAAAATACATGATATCAAATATTAAGCCTTAGAGATGAGGTTATCTTTTTAAAATCTACTTGTACGGGGCCGACGCTTTTGTTACGTGAATGTCGATATATACGTGAGTGTGTGTGTGTATATATATATATATATATATGAGAGAAATTATGAGTATATATTGTGTATATTATTGCCTAATAGAATGAAGACTCTTCACGTGTCGTTCGAGTTCTATCTTGCCCATGTAGTAGATAGACAGAAGAGAGAGAGAGAGAGAGAGAGAGACAGACAGACAGAGAGAGAAGAGAGAGAAGAAAAAATCGAAAATCGTGGAAAAATGTTATCGTACATTCGAGAAATTCGAACGTTTATTCATAGTATTTTTTGTAACATTCGTCGATCGATATAACAAACGATACGAAAATATTTTTCATGAGTATGATACAGTCTCATGTTGAGGTTAGAATTTCGCTTCTCGAATTTTTCTCGCGGTTCAATGCATCTTGAAAAAATCGCCGCAAATTCATGCCTGTCGATGAGCTATGTAAACAAAATATCTCTCGAGGAGCAGTTAAAATTGATGGTAATATCATATGTGAAATATAGAGAAAAATGAATATATAGTGAATACATTCGACGAGTGACACCTTGACTAATATATTTGTCACTAGGACGCTGCTCGATGTATCGAGTAAGTACGTGCAACGATCAACAGTACCGTCGTAAATAATTGTCTCTGTGTACGTATATGAAATCGAAAAAAAAAAAAAATATATGAATTATACAGAGTGAGTTAAGTTAGAGGATAAAAGACCGAAATATCTTTCTCGAGAGTTGAAAGTAAAGGAAAAAAGACTCTGATCCACTTTGATATTATTATTATTTTTTTTTCTTTTAATTAATTCGGGGATCGTTACTTTCAAAGTTATCCACGTTATCATTGCCTCTAAATAAATCTACAAGTTTCTTTTTTTTTTCTCGATACGTTTCTCTCGACGAAAATCTTTAATCCTCGAGATGTGACACCGGTCGAACGATTCTTTTTTGAAAAAAAGGAAAAAAAAAATGTTGAGAATTAACATATGAGAATAGAAAAAAGAAAACCTAAATTATTCCGAAAAACACGAGCAGTAAGAAAAAAATTATAAAAAATTGTAATTTTAACGGGTCGTTTCTAAAAAGAAATGCGTTAGTGCCAAAGGATCAAAATATTTTGCAATTGTATCAAATCATTATCCATATGTATATATAAATATATATATAATATATATATGTATATATATATATATATACGTTGGAAATTTTATTAACGTTAACTACGACATGCAAGGAGTAAACATATAGATTCATTTAGGAAGAGATTGATAACCTTGGTAACTCTGAAAAAAAAAAAATATCGAAAACATAATCTATATTCATGTATTTTATTAAAGACGTTATTTATCATTTGTTGATGGCTCACTCTGCACACTCGTATGCGTATAATCGTGTATATAAGTAATTCAATATTCATATAATTGAAGAGTTAATACTAATACCGATGATGTTGAGTTTATTATTGTCATTTTACAATAAAAAGCATAAATCACGCTGACACAAATTATAAATGAAATTATCAATTCAAGAAGAATGTACATATATATATATGTATGACTATACAAATCTTCCCTAATCTAAAAGATTCGATCATTGGCCCATTGACAAAATTCCATTTCGTTCAAATCTGAATAGCGCGTGACACATGATTAGCAATATACAATTACATATATGCGTATATATACAGCTTTGTATACGTGTATCGACGATATACGTATATAAAGCGTATACAGGGCGAGTCATATAAATTGTTATCCGAAAATAGTCTCGAAAACTATCAAAAACATAATTTCTCATTTGAATTGATGAATGTTGTTATTACATTCAAAGAGCAAAAGGAAGTTTATTCTATATTATCAAAATTATACGTTCTTATTCTGTAAAATTTGAAAAAAAAAATAGGACTAAAGAAATATTATGCAATTTTAAAATATTAAACGCAAATGTTATTATAAATAATTAGAAAATTAATATACATATATTCTAGTATTTTAATCCTTTTAAATAATCACTTTCTAATGTAAATAAATAGAGAAGGGAAAAAAATTATATCACTCAGTTACAAATTAAAAATAATAAATAATTTGTGAAAATTATTATCAATGACGTATCCTTTGAAATTCTTATATTTTTATCTTGCAATGAATCATTACATGCGTGTAACGACTTATTAAATCATTAATTAAGCATTTATATATAGAAATATTGCAACTGCAGTCATATGTTTTCATAGTTTTAGAGAAATTAATTTGTAACAATTCACATGATCCATCCTGCGAGCTTATAATCCAAGGCGAAATTTCACTTTACCACTGTCCTTTCTCCAAGATTTACACGTAAAAACAATGATTAATGCTGTCTAAAACACCAAGGTTATTACACTTAAGTATTGCATTAGATCATATACATATATATGATCTAAATTTAAGTTGGAAATGCAGGGTACATGCTGGGCGTTGACCCTTTGCACTCAGAGAGAAATACAGCTCCAATATTTAGCTGCTTTCCTTTTCTATACCACGTTCGGGTAAATATGATTGCACAGATTGTGACAGATTTGCATTCAACAAAACGAAAATTCTTCATAATCTCGATTTTACGATAATATATATTGTAATAACAATTTTAAATTATAAGATCAAGGATATTCGTCTATATTTACATTATTTTATTCATCTTTGATTTTCTACATAACTACAGTTCGAAAATTACTCTGGTTCGAAATGCAATTCGAAAAACGAGGAATCAAATTAATAGATTAAAATATGCATTTTCAAACGATTATTATTCTAACGAGAAGCATTCTTTTCTTCGAGGACAAAATTTAAATAAAATAACTCGTAATGAATATTTCTAGATGCAAAACCAATGCATCACCCCTCGTTTTTCGTCAAAATTTGGAGGAAATCAACACGATAAAGCCGTATTTGTCCCAAGTGCGGTCAAGTAAACAAACAAGCTAACACCAGTTACTGGGTATAGTGAATCTGAGATGGTAATTGGACTAGCTGATTGACTGAAAGTGTCGGTGGACAAGGGTTTTGGGGGAACTGTTATTCAGGATTGTGGAAGCATAGTTGCGTTAACGCTGATTGACAACTAATTCGAAGAGCAGATACTGAACTGCGAATTTTGCGTATCTAACACTGTCTCTAAAAGTGTATATATATATATAATATATATAATATATGTATATTATATATACTACGCATATACATTTATTATACAATTTCTCACTCATTTATTCGCTATATTTATAATTCGTATAATAAATGCACATATATATGTGTGTGTGTGTGTGTGTGTGTGTGTATATACATATACACGTGTGCGCGTGCCCGCGCGTACGTGTACGTGTGTACAGTACATGTTTCTTTTTTTTNTTTTTTTTTTTTACAAACGTAGTGGGTGTAATAAAACGTGTATAATAATACGGGCAATCCAAGGAAATTCTTTTCAGGCTCATCGGTGGAAATTATATAAATATTCTATTCTGTGACAGTAGAAACATATCAAGGGAGGTGTGTATGTATTAGGATCTGATACACAGAGGCAAATCTTGTGTGTATACATTATTCAGATGTCCAGATGTGCATACGGATCCAAAAGAAGAGAGAAGAAAAAAAAAAAAAAAAGGAAAAAGAAGTTATAAGTTCATTTGTAATGACGTGCTGGAGACATGAGGGATAGATAGAGGGAAGGCAGGAACAATTAGACGTACATCATATACAAGAGGGGGCGGTGGTGAGCAGTTTGACAGTAATTAGGACTGCGAAAGGTGGCTCAACTCGGGAAAGCTAGTTGGTTGGCTGTGTCTCTCACCTGCGACCTCGCTCGTTCTTCAAAGTGCCGCCATACTTGTTTCGCGTCCCGATCAGGTCAATTATCTCGGGGATACAACTGGCGAATATGGCCTACACCACGTGATAGAACAGAACACAACACTCGCATCAATACACTTGTGTGACAAGGGTGACAATTGTATGCTTTATTTTTGTTTCTGTTTTTTTTTTGTTTGTTTTGTTTTGTTTTTTTTTTTTTTTCTTTTCACAGATTTACAGATTTCAGTCGCCAGTAGTTTCGTCGTCTCGTCCAATTGTCGAAATGTGATTCGCTGTGAACGCGTTACAGATGTTCTAGTAACCTTAGCTAGTTTGTTTTAGTTGCTTTTCTTTTTGTTGGTATCTTTTTTTTTTCTGAGCTGGCGAGGGGGAGGAAATTTGCACTTATGAACGGAAGTAAGTTTTGGCTCAGCTACCGGGCTCCGCGGCCACTCATAGAGACACGATTAACAGTGCTATACCGCTATGGGTGCCACGGCCCAAATAGTTAATATATGGAAACGAACACGTTCCAAATAAAGGGCGGGGTAGGTAGGCTACCTACACCTAGATCCTACACTCCTACACCTAGGCCTATAACGATAACTACACGTGCCGACACGTCTACCTAGTCCATTGGCAGGTAGGTAGTAATGTATTTCAATTTTGTATTGAATTTTGCCCGAATTCTTGCGATACGTAAAGCACAGGATACGTTTCTCTAGACAATTAAACATATTTTCGTTTGTCTGGCTTTTTCGTTAACGAAGAATCGCTTCTACCTTCTCGTTGGATATACGTATGAACGTCGACGAACGGATCGAGAAAGATTTCGAGAAAACGTTTTTTCTTTTTTCTTTTTTGAACACGAAAATACAGCAACCCCTTCCCCTGTAGTACGAAATATCGATCGCACAGAGTAAACCGGTGTTTTTTTTTTTTTTTCACCCGAACGAAATTTTCCCAAAGAATTGTTCAAGAGAAGATATTCCTGTTTCGAAAAAGGTTACAGTGTCATCATGTATGACTTTGATCATTGAAAGTATATATATATATATACATATATATATATATATATATACATAGTATATTGCCTATTGGTGACGGACGAAAGACGCGCTTCAAATGCACTGTATCGTTGCCGCACGATAAAATGAAAATGCACCATCCTGTATTTCTGATTAAAAGAGCAGTTAGCGAGCGATGTTAGCGTCTGGGTAAGAGTATATCACTCGTCCATATTAGCGCTTCGCACAATCGAATGCAGCCTTTAGAAATGTACGAAACGGCAAATGTAGGCATAGTTTATGGTATCGTTTATAACTATATCGCAACATCGATGCGATTCTCTTTCTTCCTCTTCTCGATTGTAGGATGTATTCTCGACGTATGTGTCCACTTTGAATACGACAAACTTACAACCCGAATGACCATTTTGAAGCAAATGCACGACCTGTAATTCTGCAATTTTTTTTCTTTTTTTTCTTTCTTTTCTTTTTTTTTTCTTGTTCTTTTTGGAAAAAAATCGTCGATCGGCCTTTTCAATAATGTAAATTTATGCAATTGATTTATAGAAGGTGTGTACCACGTTTGACAAATAAAGACTTTCTTAGCCAAAAATGAAATAATATTGTTCTAAAATAATTTGACATACAATTGATATTTTATTAATTAATAATATTAATATTATAGTGAAATTTAAATTATATAATTCTTTTACCGATAATAAAATTAATTTTCATTAATAATTATATAATGTAAAATATAATTATATCATATGTTGAATTGAAGACACGTAAATTTAATATATACATTAACAATCCATAATAATAGAAATTTGATGAATGAAGTATTTCAATCTTGGCTTAGAATTTTTATTTGTTTGAATTAAAATAATGAAAATATTCATATTACACACACGTAGTACAAACAAAAATATCCGTATCGATTATATAGAATAGCAATTTTTAATTAATTGACATACTATAAATCATTTGAACAAAATGTTAACAAAAGAAATGTTCCTTCTATCCAATAAATATATATTTGATGCTACTTTACTTTTTTAAATTTCTGATCAAAACTTTAGTAATAATTTTATTAAAAATCTAAAGAATAAATTTTAATTTAATTATTCCAATAAAATTTTAATAATATCGATCGTAAATGTGATAAAACATTCCACGAGGTAATTAAAAATTTTCATTTTACAAAATTTTACAAAGCAACAATTAATCGTTCAATTATACATTATACATCGTAAGCAATGAATATTAAAATTGTCAAAAAAATTATGGTTAATTGGTATTACGAATAAAATACAAAGAAAAAATATTTCTTTTAATTTCAAATTTAAATAATTCCAATATTATTTATTATTTTACTTGTAAATATTGTTGAAAACCACCAATCTGCACAATGAATACCGAGTAATCGTACAGGCCAATAGACGATCGATCTCGAACGACTAGTTTTCAAGAAAAGAAGCATGCGTCTGCGGCAACGAAGTCTGTGAGCGTAATCGCGTTATAATAACATTATTTTCGTAAATAAATTATATTTGATTTACGAAATTTACGAAATAAGAGTGTTTCTTGGGACATGGGCTAGTGTCATTCTATGCGTGTATGTTGTCTCTTATACGCTTTCCTTTCGCTCAATGATGCATGTTTGTGTGAATAAATATCCGCATATACACGCGCATACATACGTATCTATATGTGTGTGCACATGATGTAAATACGCACACATATACACGTGACATTATACACGTATGTATGTACGTGTATATACAAGTATACATATTTATATATGGAGAGAAAGAAAAGAAGAAAAAAAATAGTAAAGTATATGTATATGCATATACACATGTAACGTGTCAATGATCGTGATGGAGATATTGTGACTTTTTACTAATCTTTCTCTTGAAAATTATTCTTGGAATGGCTGCGATAAGTGTTCGCCTGTCGCATGAAACTGTACATACATACATATATTTAATATTCAATTACAAATGTTTGAGCATTTAAAAAGGTTTGAACATTCATCAAGTTGAAATAAAACGAAAATCATGAATTGAACAAAATTTTTTCCTTGCTTCATTTGTTATTCGATTATTGACAAATAAAAATTATCGAAAATATTATTAGACGCAAGGAATTTTTACAACTCAATTATTGGAGGCACAATGATCTTTGCAATTTTCAATATTCTTAATATTATTGGAATATAATTATATAAAAAAATAATAATATTCATTTCTACAATTACTATTTCTTCTCTAAGATTTATACGAGTTAAACAATTAAATATATAATCAAGTTTCGTTGACTATGAGAATTACTGTATTTGTACTTCTGCTTAAGTTATCATATATTTATTTCGGCAAAAAGATATATTGGCACGTATGGATTCATTTTTATTTATCAATAATTAAAAAAGTAAAGCCTCAAATGCAATTTCTTCGTTCTCTTGATCTTCGTTTTATTTCGACTCGAAAAATCAACCCTTAAATTTTTCAACACCCAGTAATTGAACACTTTGTATACATATATTGTATATAATAATATACATTTATGCATATGTATGTAATTGTTGAAGAGAAATAGAAGAGATAAAAAAGAGAGAGAAAGAGAAAGACAGAGAGAGAAAGGAAGATAGATCTTTTCGATGTGACTGAAACTCTAAAGGCTATCTATGTGCCTGAATAACGAAGTAAGGATAATGAATAATAAGCGTCCCACGGGAAACGGCGGGAAGGCTGTCATAATCATTGTATAATTATCGTATCGTTGTAAAAATTATTCGAAATTTAATAAAATGAAAATATCGAATTATTTGGTATATTCGAATTATCAGTATGAATACGCGAATAAAAAATAAAATCTCATATAGTAATATAATTATCGACAATACGTATGTATCTATGTATGTATACATATATCATGAATACATTATATCTACGTTTTAACAAAAACAAAAAAAAAAAAGAAAAAAGATACTCGACCGAACTCGAGCAACTTCTTCTAAATTTACCAGTGAGTACAAAGGGAGTTATAAACCCATGCTTGATTATTTCTTCTACGTTTTATTACCATGCGACACACGAATAAGCGGATATGAAGTATATATATATTCAAGTTCCACGCGATTGGTGGTTCCACGATCACGTGACTTTTCTCACGTGTACTGTACGCCTTCTCCGCGTTAGGCCCGTTCGACGCCAAAAAAGGTTAAGCGTTGTGTTTCTCGCAATTATATAATGTATATACGTGCAATTTCTACTTAATAAAAAATCCCTAATAAGAGCAGCCGCATGTGCCTACGCCTGCACCCCCTTCTACTGCTGCGTTCTAATTTCAAGTGCCAAAGTATAATATTATTTTATTGTAATCAAGCCAGAAATCGTGTCTCGATTCGACGGTGTGGGATTTCTCCGTTTTTTCTTTTTTTTTTTTGTTGTTGTTGTTGTTTTTACTTTTCACTCATGCGTCGAGTGAAAGAAACCGTTCCTCTCTAACAGGCCATTCCGCGAAAGGTTTCTTCACCTTTGGAAAAAACTCTACAGGCTAGCCAGAGCACTAACGCATGCCACCAAGAAACTCGGTTTGTGAATAAAGAGGGATAGATAGATAGATAGAGCAGAATAGATAGATAGATAGAGATAGAGAGAGAAAGAGAGAAAACAAAAATGCCCACGAATCGTTGATACTTTTTTATAATATCTTTATTTTTAGTATTTTTTTTTTCTTCCCTCTCCCCTCTTCATTTTCTCAAGAGTATGATAGCTAGGTCAAAATTCATAATTAAATCTAATTTTTTGTTAATTTGGATCAAAAGTAATTCACAATATTTGATTCTTGTTACCTAATCAATCGTTTTATCGTTGATCCAGCCATCATATAACGAGGGTTAATTAATATATGCTTGTTTTAATTAATTAAAAGTATCAGCGACATTCGCAACCCGCTGCTTCACGATTCCTCCTTTTCATTCCGTACCATTCTACCGATCATTTCGAATTTTACGACGAATTTCCTACGAAGCCTTTCTCATACTGATCGAATAACTTCAGTTTAATCAAGATACGATTT